ATTTAGTACTACTCGCTAAATACATAGTAAAAAAGTAAATAATATTTCGCTAAAGTTCCAAAATACTAATTGTAATACTAAATAGTGTTTTTAGTACTACTCGTGTGAGTTCCAAAATACTAAATAGTAATACTAGATAGTGTTTTTAGCACTACTCGTGAGTTCCAAAATACTAAATAGTGTTTTTTTTCTCGAGTATTAAATTGTGTGAAAGGAGTATATACTATGTATTATGTAGTACTACCCGCCCATTGGAGAGATCCAAAGTGGCGGTTAATAATTACTCCTAATATACTTTTATAAGGTAATATACTAATTAGTATAAATCCCCCGCAAGATCAGGATGGTTCATGATTCGATGAATATAGTCTGAGACGAGTTTTCTAAGTTCACCATTTGACTATGCCCGTGACGGCGGCCCCTATATGTATATACATATATATTCTGTTCACAGACAGCAACAAAGGCAATTAACAGTGTTCACCTACGAGGCAGATTTACTAGAGGGCATAGATTGGCATCAATTGAGAGGTGGTATGTCGGCTATTAATTGATTTCGTTGAATGCGATTAACCTGAGAATGTTAACTGTCGCGCATTTCGTTTTCTTGACAATCTAGTAACATGTTTGCACGTGCGTGTGCACAATTTGCCTGGGGGATTATACAGAGTTTATGTTTGTTCGATCTTTGCGCAATGCGGATGCCGAGCTCCTTGTGAATTTTGAAACAAGATAAGGAATCAAATTACGCGATACCTACTTCAACAATTCTATCTGGCTATCTCGTTTATTCAATCAGCGGTTCTGTTTGGCACTGGGATGCTTACTATTATGAAACACGCGCTCCTTTTAGGCATAACCGCAGAGGTAACGTCATGCTTAGCTCACATCAGAGATTACAGTAGCGACATGGTAACGCACTGCCTTATATTTCCACAGGTGGCTAATCCAATATGAACGAGTATGATGAAAATGAGCGCTCCCACTCGGTGTCGGTGGTAAAAAAACGCAACCAGATGGACGTCGTTGTGCGTAACCTGGTGAGTGTTTGTGCCACAAGGTTTTATCAAAACTTCCACTTAATATGAGAATGCATCTGAGATGTGTGTATCTAGACCCTGTCACGTCCATCTGCATCTGTGTATAATTCTGCTGTTGTTTGTTGCATTCTATCCTGTTGATAGAGCTCCGTCAAACTCTGCGAGTCGGTGTTCGAGTGTATGTATTTGGATTCAGTCTTTGTTAATTTCTACACGGGCATTCTATGCTTGAGATGTATTCATATTTTAAAGTTAAATTTTAAAAATGCTTTCCAAGACCTCCGAGAAAAATTACCCGGGAACAAAGTTGTTATATTTAGGCTAAAGTGGACGAGGTCACGTTTGAATGCACACGAACTCTCTACTGAAGTGTTAGAATGACACGCACAAGCACGCGTGTTGAATTATTTTATATACCTTAAGGCAAGGCATCTACAGGATTACTGAGTTTTTAAGGTTTGCAAGTTCTAGCGTTCTATGCCAGGTAGCTGCGCTTTTGGGGGTTGCTGTTTTTAGAGTTTAGGCCATTTTTGTGCTGAAGCCAATCTACCCCGTCGGGCAGTTATAGATATAAAAAGGATATAGATTCATATTTGTTTTAATATATATGGGCGTACCCGTTGTTCGCCGCACGCTCCTGCTTCATCTGTCACAGGCTGGCTGCACCCTCCCACACTTTCTAAAGGAAACATACCAGCGAACACCTAAGTTTCCTTTGACTGTCTACTGCACCCTGGGCGTTGATGGCCCACGCGCACATGGAGCATCCATGTGATTGGATGTAGATTCACTTAGGGGTTTACATACCACCTACCTGCTATAACCACAACCCACTCCTGCATTCAACTCGTTTGCGTCGTGCAACTCACTTCCTTTCTGGGGTGTCAACTACACTTCCTCACCCCCCTCCCGTGCGTACTATGCAGCGGTTCGAGGTGCCGGGAGCAAAGAAGAAAGATCCCAAGAAGGTGATTCTGGGCGGCATCAACGGCCATTTCAGAGCATCCAGGCTGACTGTGATCATGGGATCGTCTGGGTATGTGTTGAGGTGACTGTGATAATGGTGTTAGGGTGACTGTGATAATGTGATCGTCTGCGTATGTGTTGAGGTGACTGTGATAGTGGTGTTGTCGGTGACTGTGATCATGGGATCGTCTGGGTAAGTGTACAGTGCGGTCGGGTGGCAAGTGCTGTTGCAGTCAGCACATGGTTGAGTCTTTGTGGCTCTAGTTGGCTTCATCTGCGCATGTC